ACTTGTTATCACTAACCAATTGCGCATAAAGTTTAGCCGCTTACACTTTGAGTCCGGATTCAATATGGAAAAGGGATCGATCTACAGTTCGATTGCTTTTTTGACGGTATGAGTAGTTTTTAGTTACAAATGAAAAATCCGTAATGGCAATATAAAAAGTAAGAGATACACAGTCCAGTATGGGCGCATACTGCACACAGACCCCTAAATAAATATGTACATAGTTGCACCTTTACAAATATGGTCGAGAAGATAGACCCTGCACAGATACACAAAGAAATTTAAGAAGTCACCATGTCTAGTGCTCAATCCAAAAGAATCTGAACGTTTTTTGAAAGTATAACAAAGCTTAGGTGACTAAGGATGACACTCGTTAATTAATGGTTCAGCCAGGCACAAACGAGAAGGTTTCAGTGACGGAGTTTTGTGCAAAAAAGAAAAAAATTAATGTTTATACTCCCATGTTTAATTCATCCGTCCCCGGCTTTCTTCGTACCGGACTTTCTAGCCAGAAACACGTCCTGGGACTGCTTTAGCAGTAGGCCATACTCTTCGCTTCGTCTGTGGAGATCGATGAGCTGTGCCTTCAGTTTGAGATAGTCTGTCTGTGGGACACGATTTCTAAACAAAAATAATGAGAATAGCATTACTATCAGTTTAACTTCCCGCCGACTATTCAATTGAAGCAGGGAAAGTAAAAAATAATCAGGTGCCATTGCGGACAAGCAAACTGGTAGATCGTGCAGATAACCAGGAGGCAGATTCTTTTGTGTAATAAATGAGATTCATTGTGATGGGCTTTAATAATATACGGGATTGCAAATTCCTCAGTTGTACACAGAAGAAAAATTTTTCGTCTTGCGGATGCAAACAATGTAGACAGGCAAGATTTAATGTACGCCTACTTAGTGAACGAAAACACGGGAAAACAACGATTTATTCATTTAGGATCTTCAAGGCGACGGAAGAGTGCAATGATAGTTCCCCTCCTTTGCTATCCTAAATATTTTTTTCTTCAAAAAGGAGATTTCTGAACTAGAGAGAACCACACCGAAATTTACCTCAGTTTCATATTTTCCAATCGCAACCTTTCCAGTTCCGTCTGTTGGTCCTCGACTTTTGTATCAAGGATATGTAGTTTCTCGGTAAGAGCTGCTTTTTGCTGAAAAAAGGATACAGAGGCATCAGAGATCCATATGCAGAAACACTGATATTTTTAATTCCTCTTTTTCTGACTTGAAGGGACCAATGGGCATAATGAACGCTAGTTTGGGACAAAAGCCCTCAGATAAAACTATGGTAAGTAGAATATTTCCTAACGAGGTATCTGGGATATAATTTGCTTATATTTGTGGAGTAAACATGTAGTATACCCAGAAATCACTGCATTTTGTAGGTCTAAACGGATAAACGGTGAACGCAATGTTGGCCCACGGCAGGCGGGCAGGTGCTCAACTTGGTTAAGATCGCGAGCTCTTATGATCGCACATTTCGAAAAGGGGAAGTTGTACGAGTGGATTTCGCACTTTCGCTATATTACCAGTGTAAATTTGACAAACTGGAGCATGGGAAATGATAAATGGCATTGTCGGGCAAGTTGAATACAAGGGAACATACTTTTTTACCCTCCTCCAAAACGCGACTGTATGCCTCGCGAATACTGTTTAGTTGGCTATCATGAGAAGTGTCATATAACTTTGAGGGTTTCATATCCTCATCCTTTTCGAAAGAAAGCAAGACAAAGAGGAAAACAGGATCAGTTAAGATAGTCTTCTTTCTAGCCAAATGAAGCAGCTAATTAATTGAATGCACTGGCGGTTTATAACAACAGATTTTGGAAACTTGACACTCCCAAAATAATACAACAATAAATGTCGATCATTCACACAACCGACAGGGGTAAGGATGGCTTATGCGGCCGCCTAAGTAAGGCACAAAGATAAGAACGCCCCACCAACCTAAAACAGGTGGCCCTGCGATAAATTTCAGGAAGTGTGAATATTCCCGTATCTTAACCCTAACATTAACCCTAAAATAAAACTAACCTTCAGCATTAGTCTTATCTCTAATCCTACCCAACATTTAAATCTTACAACTAACACGGACCTATAGCTTAACCCTTAACAGCATCTCGACCATAATCCCCACTTTACATCTAATCCTAGAGTTAACCCTAAAGCTAGCCTTACTCTCAGACATAATTTTCTCGGAGTTCTGCGCAAAGCCACATTTATTGCCGGCGATTCCTGTTTCTGTGTCCTGTTTAGGTGACCATGCAAGACATTTTTTTGAAGAAGACGATTCGATCGCTGGGCCAATACTTTTATTCGCCTGACCTTTCGACATCCGTCGCGGATTCGTCATCAGAGACATAGTCAGAGAGCAACAGCAGATAG